TTAAGTTTCATTTTATCTTCAAATGTAAGATTTCTAACATACCCTCTTAATAAGAAGCAAATGCCACTATAGTAGATATCATGTCCAATTTCACACTTGATTAGCATAAAAAAGTATCTTTTTTCGAATGTGTGAATGGAGTAATCAAACATGGCTCCGATTCAAATACAAAACAAAATCGTAACACATCATTATCTATAGTTTGATAATGTTTGCTTATATCACGATAGAACCAACTTGTTTAAAACTTTCATGTCAATAGACGGTTACAAACTATTTGTAGACCATGTTTAATAAACGAGATAAGCTTAGCTATGTTTTATGTCACTTTAGAACATATGTTTAATAAAAAAAAATGAACAGCAGCTACAAATAGTATGAGAACGTGGGAGGAACTAGACTACAAAACCCGAATTATTATCTATTGTGGTCTTTGATTAGTCATTAACGAATAATATTAATATCTCAAAGGCCAACCATGTCTCCAAGACTATATCTCCCATTAATTAGCTTAAAATGATATTGCATATTTTGAGATTGATCATTCACGTTTGATCGTGCTGAAAGGAAAATAAATAAGAAGAGGGAAAATGTTGTTACACAACTGTAGACAGTGTTAAATTTTGATAATGATAGAATGACAAAGTCACTAACAGTTATGGGTTATAGATGGAATTATTGGTTAATAAAATTCCATCAAACTATTTGTGATTGATTAATATAATGGCGATTCAATTTGACTTTATCTGTTCAAGAACGAAAAGTTGATTATTCTTTAATGTTGATTCATATAAGGGAAAACAACTAAGATCTATTATATACTAAAAAAATATCAAGTGTTGGTCTTTGAGTAATTAACAACAGCTGTATAAAAATAAATAAATAAAGACTTTGCGAGTAGTTGACTTTAACGGTCTTTTACCAGTATTGGCGATAAATACAGAAACTCAAGGAGGATCTTACACAAAAATATAAATATGAAAGCCTAAAGATTTGAAACCTTTTACTTACACTCTTTTTTTTTTCTTCATTCCTTCTAAAGAAATCCATATGGAACCAGTGCCGTTTTATTCTGACACTCAATCCGAATGTAGTAAAGCTGGTCACAAGCTTATTGGCCAAGATAGCAATCCACTCTTTGTCTGCTTCGCATGCAAAGTCGGCCACCTGAAAGATCGTCCTAAGATTGTCTATTGCGAGATCTGCAACTCTTGTTACCATGAAGATTGTCGCTACTATAAGCCAGAGATCAGACACCCTTTTCACCTTTCCCACCCTCTCACCTTGGTTAAAGGCCATTATTCGCGGCTGAATGATATATACTGTTTCCGAAGGAAGCTACAGAAAATGCAATTGTTGTCGGGGTCCTCTTCTTAGTGTTGGTAACTACTACTATCATTGTTCTATATGTAATTACCGTGTAAAAGAATATTGTTGTCGGACGGGTCCACTAATGCTTTCAATCGCACATCCAAAGAGCCATGAGCACACCCTCACCATCTTTCCTGGACGATTCACTTTTCCATGTAATGCATGTGGGGAATCTCTTGATGACATTGATAATTACGTCTACACATGTCTCCCTTGTAACTACATGGTCCACGGTAAATGTATCTACTTGCCTCGTGTCATTAAGATCACTCGTCACCAACACCGCCTCTCTCACTCTTCCTTCCTTCCTCTCGGTGATTTCTCTTGTGGAGTCTGTCATCAAACTGTTGACATCGATTACGGGCAATATTCTTGCAATAATGGGTGTCCTTATGTTGTCCATTCTCGATGTGCAACAAGGGATGACGTATGGGATGGAATAGATCTTGAAGGAGTGCCTGAAGAACCCGAAGAAGATATCGAGCCATTCGTGAGAATTGATGAGGAGACAATACAACATTTCAGTCATGAGCATTATCTAAGGCTCCATCAGAACTACATTCCTAGCGGAAATCGATACATGTTCTGTCAGGTTTGCGCCCTTCCAATAATAACTTCTGCTAGTTTCTATAGTTGTATGGAGTGTGATTTCGTCCTCGACGAAGCATGCGCATGCCTACCTCGAAAAACACACCATCTGCTACACAAACACCCTCTTACCCTCCTTCCCATATGCCCTCCTTGGTCCTACGAAACATTAGGTGGAAATTTCGATCATAAAGGCGCATTCAGGTGCCATGGTTGTCGCAGGCACGGTTGTGGTTTCGTGTACATATGCAGAGATTGTGATTTTAAACTAGACACGAGGTGTGCTTCCCTTCCTGATCCTTTAATCCATGACTGCCATCTACATGATCACCCACTTTTCTTCCATGTACCCCAAATTATATCATTTGCTTGGCTAAGACCCCATGATAAACCATGCAAGGCTTGTAAGCGAGGATGCGGTCGAGAATATGTTCTGGAATGTATCAAATGCAAGTTTTATTTGTGCATCACATGTGCTACTATACCTCGTGTCGCAAACTACAGATACGATAAGCATCCACTCACCCTTTGTTACGGAGAAGAAGATGCAGCAAATCTACAATATTGGTGTGAGATATATGTGAGTCAAAATTAGATGCAAGTAAATGGTTCTATACATGTGAGTTCACAAGTTGGTTAATGTTACTGAATTTTTTTTTGTTACTGTTAGATTCCTAATCATGATGGTATCCAGAAATGCTAAACTGTTTGGTGACACAAGCAACAATAATGGAAAAATTGACTACACAATAGCTCATCCTCCATAACAATGGCTCTGTTTAAACACACTGACCGTAACATCAAGAACCTAATGTCTCTCTGTTTTACCATATGTGATGCAATCTCATCTAGTTGTTCTAATTATCTTCTAATTAATTCGGGGCTTTGTAATTTTGTTTTTCCTTCTCTTAAAGTTCTGTATTAAAACTCTGTTCCAAAAGGAATCTTATACAAACCTTGAATCCTCTCTCCATCGAAATAGTGAAGACGGAAAGATAACAAAAAAATACAAATACAAAAAGAGTAAAGAATGAATTTTTTACCATCTCCAACTTTTTTTTTGTTTTTGTTTTTAAAACACTGTATAACCATCTCCAACTTTTTAATTCTCCAATTTCAACTATAGTTCAACTTTGTTTTATATAAACTTATTATTACTTTTTTGGGTTAAACATTCCATGTTCATTTTATTATTAAGTTTCAGACATTCCATGTTCCCTATATTTACTAATTGATCCACTTATCTAACATTACGTGTTTTATAAATTTCGAAACCTAAACCTTACTGTTTTCAAATTTGAAAAACACTATTGGTACTTTCGTTTTGAATTTGATAACAGAGTGTGTTTATTAAACTGTTTTTCTAAAAATGGTGATTGGAAAAAGAAAAGTGGATTTGAGATATATCTAATTCTGACCTCTCGAATATTTTTTTCAGCCTGTATTATCCAAATCCAATAAGAATATAGTTTGCAAGTCATAAATTGAATTCTCAAATATATTGCGGCTATTCTATAAAAGTATACATTCTTTGGACTATTTTATAAATGACCACAAATATTGGGGCTAACGTAATAAATACGTATGAAAAGAGGACAAATATTGCAAATCTTAAAAGAAACCGTGGTCTTTTGTAAATTCTTAAACATATTAAGGTTATTTTGTAATTCGTAATCTGCTAATTTGGGTCAAATATCTGCTAAATGTTTTTTTTCAAATATTTGCTAATTGTGGTAAATTATCAGAACCATTGGAGCAGTGACTGACTGACTTTGAGTTGAAAAATCAGGAGCGAAGATTACAATGTGGCGCCGGAGATTTAGCACGACCGGCAACGATTTTGGCCAATTAGAATGTTACACTTATGTCTTAGAGTAACATTCTTATTGAAAGAAGTGTGTTGACTTGATGCATTAATTAACCAATAAGATCAAATTTATTTATATAACTATGAATAAAAAAATTATATAATCAATCTTACAAATTAGGATTGTGTAGATGTACCACAATTTCA